ATTTGTGTCTACACAAAAACATTGTACAGAGGAGGTCAAGCTTATTTTATATTTCCTGTATTCTCCCTAGTTTTATTTTTTATATCCTAGAACTTAAACAAAACTCCAGTTTTGATGCATATCTGTTGATAATGAACCAAAGCTGCTGAAACAATGAGTATGATTGTTAGCAAAATATTCCTGTCATCAGATCTCAGTCAGCTTCATTGCAGCTGAACACCGTGTTACACTGAACATCACATCAGCTGGTGGACATAAATACAGTACAGTAATATTATATTCACAAAATACTAACAATAATATGTTCATGTTACTGTGAGAAGTTATCCCCCGAGACCTGACGTCATCAGTCCGTCGATCTGAACAGAAAGAAGCTGCGAAGTGCTGAGACATCTTCTTTAACCAAATAAGGACGACCGTTTCAAGATGGCGGCCGAAAATCCTGCGTCGCAGCAGCCAATGAGGCATCTAGTGATTGTTGCATCAGACGGGAGGAAGCTCGTGCTCGGCTCTGATTGGCTGTTAGATCAGTTAGGCGGGACGTTATGACGCTGAGAGGATTTGACATGCGCAGAAGCCAAGTGTAGGGAACATTTACTGTATATACCATTTTGTTTAGGACACGTGACATTTGTAATTTCACAAGTACTTTTCATATAACAGCTGAAAAGAGAAGTGAAGAGTCACACAACAATAAATATACACTTTATTTTGGCTTTTCACTATGGAACACCGAAATGCTCTAAATGAAATAAATAAATAAAACATTATGAAATAAGAAAAAAAATGACTTACTTATTTCATAATGGCATTTTTCAGCAGAATGACTTCAGCTGTCAATCAACGTTAGTGGGTTGTACCTCATGCTGCTGTTCAGCGTGATGTTCGTGTTGTTAGTGCTTAGTGTATATTTAGTTGATGTTTTCTTAGTTCATATCTTTGATCTTATTACTGATTTTATTTTACATTTTATTCTTGGATGTAACTGGGACCCTGTGAACATAATTTTGTTCCACCACATGTACCACATGAGATGCGAATGACAAATAAAGAACCTTGAATCCTACATGCCCACTGCTGATCCTTCACGTCATCCATTAGTTTTCCTGCTCACTGGTACCATAGATATCATATAAACCATATCATACAAACCATATCATATAAACCATATCATACAAACCATATCATATAAACCGTATCATATAAACTGTATCATATAAACCATATCATATAAACCATATCATATAAACTGTATCATATAAACCATATCATATAAACCATATCATACAAACCATATCATACAAACCATATCATACAAACCATATCATCCAAACCATATCATATAAACCGTATCATATAAACCATATCATATAAACTGTATCATATAAACCATATCATATAAACCATATCATACAAACCGTATCATACAAACCATATCATACAAACCATATCATATAAACCGTATCATATAAACCATATCATACAAACCATATCATACAAACCATATCATATAAACCATATCATATAAACCATATCATACAAACCATATCATACAAACCATATCATATAAACCATATCATATAAACCATATCATATAAACTATATCCATATGTGTGAGTGCAGCTACAGCGTGCGCTCTCAGGACATCATTACCTGCAGTGTTCCCTCATTGAGGACTGAACTAGACAAAAGGACCTTCTCCTACTCCGCTCCTGTTTCCTGGAATATCTTACAAAAAGATTTGAAGCTCTCGACCTTTGACCTCTCTAAGTGGCTTTAAGAATCTGTTGGACTCCTGGCAGGGACCAATGCTGACATGTTCCTGTTTTTAGTTTTATACATTCGCCTTGAATTTTAGCTGGTTTTTTTTGTTACCTTTTCCTTTTAGCCATCCTATGTGTAAAAAAATAAAATAAAATAAAAAACCTGCAGTATGACTTTTTTATAATTGTTTATTGTTGTTGCTGTTGTCCATTGTTGTCATCTTGATTTGTTGAAATCAGGTCTCTGTTGTAAATGAGTCGAGGCTCAATGGGATTTACCGTCTAAATAAAGGTTGAATGAATGATTATAAACCATAGACATCATATAAAAGCTACGTTTATATGATGTCTATGGTTGGTACAGCTAGCAGCGACTTGCTAGGCCATCAGTCCTGCAGGATGCAGAGTTGCATGAACTTGATCAGCTCAGGTCACTTCAGATCAAAGAGGATTACTTTATTTATTTCTTTTTGATCAGCTCAGGTCACTTCAGATCAAAGAGGAT